CTGCCCCTCACTGGGGTGCCGGCCAGCAGGCAGTGGCTCCCACGCCTACGTGTGCCCGGCTCTCGTCACCTGCCCAGCGGCCCCTGGGGTATTTTCTGTTTCACAGATGGAGAAACGGAGGCTCAGGGAAGAAGGGGTCACGTGGTCAGATGCCGCAGGGGGGCCAGTGCGGACAGGCGTGACCGGGTGACCAGTGGCAGGGACAAGGGCTGGCGGGCTTCCTGGGCGGCTGGAAGGGGGGATGGCCCACGTCCCCCGGCACCCCTCCCCGACGGCCACTAAAGCACGGTCCCCACCCAGGGGTGCTGTGGGGATGGAGGGCCCTGCGGTCCAGCCACGGCTGCCCTTTTAGCGAGCGCCAGGCGCCATCTGGTGGCCACTCCCGGCCTCGCTGCAGAGGCTGCTCCAGAGCTGGGGCGCCCTGAGCCAGCAGTTGAAAGTGGTCCCTCCCGTTTGGATCCCCCACCTTGCGCCCTGATGGAAACGAAGGCAGAGGGGGAGGCAGCTCCATCCCTCAGGGAGGCAGGGCTTGGACCGGGCTGGGCAGCCCATTTCCTCTCGGGTTGTGCTCAGGGCTCTGGCTGGGAGGCCCCACTCACGCGGCTGAGGGCGTGGGACCCAGCCCAGCCGTGCTGTCCCCAAACCTGGCTCAGAGCTGCTGAGACCCCGCGGGAGACGGCCCCTCTCCCTGACCCCGCGTCACTGGGACCGGGGTCCTACCAGAGCCGCGCTCTGCCCCCCTGAGGCCCAGCTCGCTCCGACGCCTGCCTTGCACCCAGGTGCTCGAGTGCTCCCACGCCAGGCCACAGGGCAGGGCATGGAGCGCTCCTGACCCTGAGGACCAGGCCACGGGGCAGGGCAGCCCGGGGGGTCCTGGATGTCCCACGGGCAGAGTGGCAGGAAGGGGGGACACGGTGGTGGGGCTGGCTCCCTACACAGCGGGCCCAAGTGGCTCCTCTGGGGACAAAGGCCCAGACTCCAGGCCATTGGGGTCCCCAAGCTCAGCCCCCCGGCTCCCCTGCTTCAGGGGCTGTCCACCAGTCACCCCGTGAGGCCTGGGCTCCCCCACCACCCCACCTCTGCTCCGGCCAATCCCCGGTCCCTCAGCGTCACCTCCCAATGTTCTCAAACCGGCCCTGTCGCTGCCCTCCTTGCTCACACCATGTCCAGGCACAGCCACTTTGGCCCAAGCCATGGTCATTGCCTCTCAGGCTCTCTGCCTCCAAGGGGCTGCCTCCCTTCTTCTTTTTTTAAATATATTTTTATTGATTTGAAAGAGGAAGGGAGATGGAGAGAAAGATAGCAACATCAGTGATGAGAATCATGGATCGGCTGCCTCCTGCATGCCCCACACTGGGGGTCGAGCCTGCAACCCAGGCACGTGCCCTGATCGTGAAGCGAACCCAGGACCCTTCAGTCCGCAACCGACGCTCTATCCACTGAGCCAAACCAGCCAGGGCACTGTCTCCCCTCGTGGCGGTCATGACATGCAGCGCTGCGGGTGGGGTGGGGCCGTGGGGCCACGGCTGCTGGGGCTCCTGCCCCGTAGGCGTCTGTGGGTGTGTCCCGAAGGGCAGCGTGGGGCTTTGTCCCGTAACTGGCCCTTGCCTGCTTGGCCTGCCCTGCCAGCTGTGCCGCCCAGGGGCCCACAGTACCTGGGGAGCCCATCTTCTCGTCCGCAGCCTGGGAGGCGATGGGCTCAAAGAGGGCCAAGAGGTGCCCCAGGCCACACAGCCCCTTCCTGCTGGGTGGTCTCCTGATCCTGTGTTCCCGCTGCCCCCCACCCCACCTCCGGGGCCCCTCCATGGCCTTTCAGGAGTCGCTGGGGTGAACACCTAGGAGCCAGAGGTCCTACCTGAGTGCTGGCCTCCTGTGCCACACAGGCCCCTGGGGTGCCTCCATCTGGGGGTGCCCACAGGCCACCTGCAGGATATCTCCCTCCCACCCCTAGCCCACGGGGGCCTGCGGAGGGCTGCGCGGAGCCACAGCTCCCTCTGCCAGGAAGGTGGCGGGTCCCACAGGGATCTCTGTGGAAGTGGGTTCCCTCACTCCTGGAACTGACCGCCCCCCCGCACCTGCTCTCCCCACTGCTCCGATGCCCAGGAGGAGGTTGAGGGTTGGGGTCCAGGCCACCAGGGACAGACCCCCAGCTCTGAGCCCAGACAGGTCACTCCATCTGGGGGAAGGGCCAGCCCTGTGGTGTGCGGGCGGCTGCTTTTCTCTCTCTGAGGTGGACCCTCAGGAGCAGAGCAGGCGGCCCGGGCACCCAGGAGGCCTTGGGCCTGGCTGCTTCCTGGGCCACAGGAAAGGGACCCAGACTCCACCTGGCACCCCTCTGCAGCCCCACGCCCCCCGCCCGGACAGCCAAGAGAGGCGACAGCCACAGGCCGGAGGCGGACCTGATGCATGTCAGCTCTGTTGGCCTGAGCTTGCCTGCGGCTCAGAGTCCCCCATGGAGAGGTGCCGGGGCTGGGCAGCTCACAGCTCAAGGCCGCCACCGCCTCCTGCCGCCACCTGGCGTCGCTGTCGGGAAGTGCACCATCCAATGGCAGAGCCCCGTGGGCTGTGGCCCAGGCCTCCCTCTGGCT